AGGCCCCGCCGTCAAATGGCTCTCGCTTATACGCCAAGCTCTAAATCCTCCCCCCGAAAAAGCCCGCACACTTGCCGAAAATAACGAAAATGCCACTGGATCAGATCCGGCCCAAACCCCAAGGGCCAGCTTCTCTGATCTGTTATCGATGTCGGATGCGAATTCTATTAACGAGGGCGAATATTTCGACCGTTTCGCGAATAAATCGGGCGACGGCGGAGCTCGTTATTGTCTGGCGGCGAGTAAGCAAATGGTCGGGGTTTTCCTGTGCGTGTGGGCCCGAGCTGGGGTGATGAGGCACGTGACTAGCCTCAAAGTCTCGTGCGTTGGGAGGGGCATTATGGGGTATATGGGAAATAAGGTTTGTTTCAGGAAATCTTCCCAGTATAACCATATTTTTAATTTTGTTTGGATTAATTACATATCACGACGCATCATATAATTACACGGGTAATCTTAAGATTCATTCTGACATTGTTGATTGTAATTACACGGGTAATCTTAAGATTAATTCTCGTGTGCATATAATCAGTAATCTCAGAATTATTTGTGTGGATATGCAAACTCTAGGATTACATGCGTAATGCCACAGGGTACATGAACATTATTAATTTTTTTTTTTTTAGGGATCGATTTCGATTAGTATGACAATTAGGGAGACGACGTTTTGCTTCGTGTGCACGCATTTGACTTCGGGAGAGAAGGATGGAGATGAAGCTAGAAGGAATATGGACGTGATGGAAATTTTGAAGAGAACTAAATTTCCATTTACAAATAGGTTTTCAAGTCCATGTGCATCTTCACCCGATACAATTTTGGCGCACGAGTAAGCCCTCAACTCATCACTTGTCTTTTAAATAATATATAGACTAGATTTAATACCGCAATTTAGTAAATTTTAATTACTAATTAGTAAGTGTAATTTACTAATTTTCAAAATTGCAGCAAAATTATATGGCTCGGGGATCTTAATTACAGACTTACAACGGCTAGTTGTAGCAAGACACGTGATTTATTGCAGAAGAAGGATTGGGAAACTCTGTTAGAAAAGGATCAAGTAAGCAAAATTTTACAATAATATTCATCGCATTAATTTTTTGTTATGAGTAAGCGATTAGATTAGATTTGTTAAGAATTTAGGCTAATTTGGTAGTACGAATGCAGCTTCGAATTGAGCAGAGAGCTGGCGGAGTATTTGAAGGGTGGGAAGAAGGGAGGATTTGTTTTCCTCCGACTTATAAATATGCTACTGATTCTGATAATTATGTCGTTAGCTCATCAAAATCGAAAGAGAAACCTCGAACACCCGCTTGGTTAGTATTAATTAATCTCTTCAAAATTTCGTTTTATGCGTTTCTTGGTAATAATTGTGTATTATCTAACATATTGTTATCATTTTTTTAATGAAAATTTTATTTTAAAAAATATTTCATTTCATCAGTGGAAAATGAATATCATATAGTCAGAACTATACTGAGGACGACCTAAATCGAGGATTGATTCAAGAAATAATAGTATGCAGTTTGGCAAGAGACCATTTTATTACATTGCACGTCACAAATTTGACTAATTATGACATATTTTTTAGAAGCAAATAAAAAAAAAGTCAATAGCCATCATGAATTGCTTGAAGTCAATCTTGTCCAATCACACTGCCTAATCCATAGACATTTTCGGGACCACTAGCACTTCATAGATTAGTTGTAGCAAGGACTAGTGGTTTTGTACTTATTAATTCGACTTGGTTACCGTTCTCTACTGAGTAATCATTAAATTAAGCCTAATCTTCACGTTAATCAAGTCAAAGCATCATGTCGGCAGTCTTAATCACATTGGAGGCCTTGATTTGCACAGTTAGCAATGAGATTAGCGTGTAACTAGATTCTGATCCATAAAATAGCATATACCTTTTCACCACTAATGCCTATCCAAAACTCGAATACTTAACATATTATTCGTACATGGTGCGAATTTAAAGGATTTTTGCTTGATAAGATTCAGCAGATATTTGACATGTACGCGATCTATATATTTATATATATAATATATATATATATATATATATATATATATATAGCAGAGAGAGAGAGAGAGAGAGAGTAAAACTCTATCAACTTAAGTGGACTCCACTAAGTTTCTTATCCTGATGATTACTGATTGAGTACATTGTAGATGATACCGCCTCCGTTGAACTTGATCTACATATTCTAAACTCCAACACACCAAATTTGGGTGAACCTATTGTGGTTTGCCAATTCATCCACTCGTATCAATTTTAACGGTTTCGAATGAATACAATTTTTACATGGCTCGACGGAGGGTCAAACAACGACCGGTTCACCCCAAATTTGGTGTGTTAGGGTTTTACGAATATATGTAGATCAATTTAACGGAGCGATCATCTATAATGTACCTCAATCAAGTAATCATCAATGGATAAGAAACTTAGTGGACGTCCACTTAAGTTGATAGGAGTTTTACTCTATATATATATATATATATATATATATATATATATATATATATAGAGAGAGAGAGAGAGAGAAAGAGAAATGAGTATGTTTGGTACCAAGCATAAAAAGTTGTGCTTGGTAGTGAGATAGCATAATACTCTGGTTACATATCATCATGCACTCCTCAACTCATGTGAATGTAGTCCCCCATTTGAATGAGTGGAGGGGATTGTGTCACCTCACTACCAAGCACAAAATTTATGCTTGGTACCAAGCAAAAAATGAAGTTTTATTGATGGTTTTCTTGTAATGTATTTTTACCATAACCGAATTAATATAACATGTACTGTTTCCATTTACAGGTGTGACCGTATTTTGTGGCGTGGAGAAGGGCTGAACCAAAGGTGGTACAAGAGAGGCGAGTCAAAGTTCTCCGATCACAGGCCGGTTTCCTCTCTCTTCACTGTTCAACTTGATGACCATGATGGCCGTGTGAATGAGGAGCTGCTCCTCTTTGGGATGACACAGGGTAGTTGCTTAGAGTCCGCTAGATTCTGACCACAAATTAACCAAAATTTAATTTTTTTTTTTTAGTTCACTTGTTCATATTCTAGCTTACGAATGGAAGTGTACAGAAACGGTTCTTGTTTTGATTCATTTATTTATTCATTAATTCATATATACAACTGCAGCGATACTGATAATGTTGCTGCTGTCTTGTTTAGTTAGTAAGTTTTCAGGCAATGCTTCTCTATTTAAATACTGTTTATTTATTTGTTTGTTTGTTTTTCATTTTGTTGTTAGTTGCAGGGGGCATGTCACTGTCGCATGCGGCAGAGAGCAGCAGGAAACTGCTGAAGTTTTAAGATACTTATTATTAGTTTGAGCATCTTCTCACATTGCTACCTTTTACACTGTAGCCTACAGAGGGAACTTAATCTGTTCTTTTAATCGACGTGGGAATCATACGACATGAGTACGTCTTGATTAGAGTATGGATGTTTTAAAGTGGCCTTGGTTCATAGAAACCTCCACAGATAAAGAGTGAGTTTCGAAATCAAGACTTTCAAAGCGCAAAAAAAAGGGGAAGAACTACTAGAAAAGATTCACTTTTCAAAGTTAATGTAGAATTTTGTAAAGTAATCGTGAATCACTAGAATCTTGCAAATAAACGAGGAGATGAGAGGAAAACAAGAAAACCACAAACTTTTAAAATGTACAGAAAAAAAATATCACACGTTACCGAAACATATTGAGGGTTAGTTAAGAGTGTAATCACATATACATCACACGTACGCATCACGTCGGCTATCATCAATGTTTGTCTATCGATGAAATGTTATCGTAGACACCTTCATATTCAACACAAAAAAGAAAAGAAAAAACAGTAGGAAAATGAGCGCTGCTTATTGAAAACATTACAAGCTGTTTTAAGGATGAAGTTAAAAACCTGCGAAGGCTATAGAAACCGGGAGGGTAAAAGGAAAGGAAATAAAATTATCGATGTTGTCAATAACCGCAGCTGCCGCTATAAATAGCTGTCCCATACTAGGACAAAATAGAAAATAAAAAAGATCGACCAAAATACAAACGCCGACCAAATTTATCAGTTTATCTCCATTACATCATATTTCATATACATCAAGCAAATCAGCTTCCCCAATAGTTAATGACAAACCTCCCACATAAATAGCTTCACCCGCAGCAAGCACTTTTTTGGGCTGCTTGTCCTTCGCCTGCCTTTGATTGGTTAATTTTGATTGCCTGTTCCTGCAATTATACAACAATGTGCAGCATGAGGATCGGAATAGAAAAATAATCGAGGGTAAATTACAAGAAACCCCAGTTATCTTCATCTTCAAGAAACCACTCGTCTAAAAAGTTCAAGAAAAACAACTCCTCATCTGTGATCGCTAATTACACCGCTAATATCATAGTGTAGTTTGGTTCTTTAGACGTATGATAAAAAGTTAGATTTTTTTATTCAATCGAAAATTAATTTTCCTCATATATTTCTTTCTTTCAGTGTCAAAAATATTGAGTTCTGAAGTGTAGATGTCTTTCCAGACATCTACTCCATTTGTAGAACGAACTCCATTATAAAATCAATGATTTCATCAATGATCGTAGACGAGGAAACCTTTGTTGAACTTTGTAGGTGAGGAGATTTCTTTGAAGGAAAAAAGAAGTTTCTTGTAATTTACCCAAGAATCAATATAGATTAAGAAATTGAGGACGGATCCTACCTCAGGTTTGTTATCAGTTTCTGAAAGCCTTTGCTTAATGTCCCTAGCTATTGAAAAGAAAACCTGTTCAACATTTAGATTTGTCTTTGCACTCTGCAGCGGAGAAAATCAATAATATGAACAAGAGTTATCATCAAAACTGGAAAGGAGAATCCAACAGAAGTAAAGCTTACCGTTTCAAAGAACTTAATGCCGTATTCGTCAGCAAGAGCTTGTCCCCTGGAGGTAGGCACCGCCTGAAAGAAGGCAAGATTGGATTCCTAAGACATTTGCTCTTGAGATCAAAATACATAGAATTAAGTTCATAAAGTTGGACTCATGTCTTCCTACGGTCGGAGAACATAATACAGCTGAATATTATACTTCACTAGAATAAGAAACAAATGACCAAGCAGACAGACTGTAGCATATCAATAAAAAATTGAATGAGTTAATCTTGGAAGTAGACTGAAGTCAAGCTTACCCTTTTGCTTTCATCCATGTCAGCCTTGTTGCCCACAAGAATCTTATCGACATTATCAGAGGCATGCTGTTCAATGTTCCGGATCCAGTTCCTTATGTCTGAATTTACAGAAATCAGAACAGAATGGAAAAACTGAGGGGTAATGCTGAATGATTCACATTTCTGATTTTAACCAAAGGGGTGCTTACTGTTAAAAGATGACTCGTCGGTAACGTCATACACAAGCAAGATACCCATGGCCCCTCGGTAGTAAGCTGCAGATGAGAAAATTGAATTTGTCAAAGGAATTTTCTTTTCCATAAAACATTGTTAGAAGGAAGAGTAGAACAGAGTACCATATCGTACAATTTGGAAGGATTTAAAACTTAAAAACTAAGTCAAAAGGGTTTTTCTATAGAGTGCCCATGGGCACTCTATAGAAGAGGAGAGAGATAGAGAGAGATGATTGAGGAGGGGCCCCACCTGATTTGCATTGGGATCCCCTCCCTAATCATCTCTCTCCATCTCTCTCCTCCCTTATAGAGTGCCCATGGGCACTCTATAGAAAAACCCAAGTCAAAAAGCATATGATGGGCTAAACTGTTGGTGAATCCATATGCATTTCGTATTTTGAAATGAAAACTGAAAGCACATTTGAGCTGGAAGTCCAATTCTTAACAGGCTCTATGTATCAAGTGCTAATCAATCAATCCTTGCCACCGAGTTAAATGGATCATAGGAAGCAGAGGAGGGGGGGGTCCATCCATTAAAAAACCCACTGATTCTCCACCCATTTTAGTGCACATTAAGTAGCAGAGCCAGGATTTTTTATTTTTATTTACTTTTTTTTTGTTTTTTTTTGTTTTTGTTCTTTTTTTTTTGGTGGGGGGGGGGGGGGNNCATTATGCTATGTCAAGCGGACTGGGGCGGAGACTCTGATTCAAAAGTAGAAGGCTCTTGAATGTGATGCCTCTTATGTCAATTTGGATCTGGTCAGAAAATATGAGGTTCTCGATATTTTGAATTTTGGCGGGTACTCTCATCTCAATGGGATCTAAAAGGAGCGGATAGATTTTTAAGTCTTCAATGACTTTTCAAAGCTGTGTTGTAAGGTCTTGATAGAGAGAGATCATAACTCATTGAGAATCGATCAGAGTAGACCCGACGACGATGATACCGGATTGAATCATGAAAGCTAATTGCGGCTTGTCGAAGCTTGGACGTGATTGGATCTGCTCGACAAAGAGGCACAAGGGGTCGAATATCGAGGAGAGTGTGGACGAGGAGTAACAGAGATATTGTTCACGCGGTTGAACAGTACATGGGTCACTATTCATCCATGAAAGTAACTTTTTTCCTTTTTCTTGGACCTTTTTGAGGACTAGGGTTTTGATTGATTGGAAGGTAGAGATTTGAGAGTTGAATTTGAAGGCTGAGATTAAAGGGGACTTAATTGAAAGGCACCTCAGACTCGGGGCCTTACGCTTGGTGTCTCACACCATTTAGCAATTCAAATGTTATCATAATTCAAATTTTTATTTATCAATGGTCTAGTCTCATGAAGAATTACATCTTATTGATAGAAAAGAAAAACATCTAAACATTTAAGGAAGCAAATTAAAATCCTGATCATAGCTAATCCTAACATAATTAAAAGATGAAATTAAATAAAAGCCAAACTAAACTAGACACTCTCAAAATCAAATCTTAAATAAATCCTTTTTAAAAAAGAAGATTACATAGAATAAAACCAAATCATGCCAAAAAAGTAAAGGTCTTTATAAATCCTAATTTCATCAAATCGAAGGTCCACAATCGTCCTGCATTACTATGCATCAACGAAAAAGCGCTCAAATATTACAATGTATAATTAACTTCATAGATATTTATCACATAATAATAATAATAATAACTTCAGATGTAAGTAGATGAAAGAACCTAAAGTAAAATTTTTTACAAAAATAAAATATTTTCGTGAATATTTATATCATCTCCACATATGCACTCATAGTTAAATCAACATACTTCCATCTCTAGTCTCTTTTTAAAAAATGTACCGAATGTAGTTGATTTTCCATAACTGCAAACTATAAATTATAATATTTTTGAAGATTTGACAAATTGACAATACACTATAAATTATACTATTGAACTTATTTCCAACAATAAAAAGAAGAAATGTAATACATTTATTTATAAAATAATTGCAGAAGTAAAATAATTGCACAAGTAAATGAACAGAGAGAATTCGTTTCACATAGTTATTTCTTAATGTAAAACTTTATGAAATTGGAAGAGCCCTAGTTCACAATTCGGTCACAAAAATGCAGAACCATATGAAAATACAAATCCTATTTCAAATTTCAACTATTAAATGCAGAAGAACATGGAACTTGAAATCTCATTTTCCTATTATATTCGAAATGCAAAGAAAACCACACGAAAAGATGATGCACGTTTATATATAAGGTTTTTTTCATGCACGTCCCCTATATACTTTATGTGATCTAAATTAGCCCCTCTAAGTAGAGGTTGGTTGAAGTTGAGAGAATACTCTGCATCTTTAACAATTTAGGATGTAATAGCAATTATACCAATATCCATTCAAACCCAAACCCCGAAAAACTTCACTACCCAACGAGGAAAAGATTATATTAGAATTAAAATTATTGATTCTAATGAATTTTGATGTTGATTTTAGTTGATTTATTAATTACCCGTCCTTGATTAACCACTAGGTCCACTACCCAACCATACTTAACAATTTGGATGGTAGATATAACAAAGAATAGTTTCAAACATTTCATACATTTATTGTAAACTAGAACATTTGGCAGACTAATTTCAAATATGAAAGATTTGGGGGATTATTTTCATGTGAAATATTTGGGGACTAATTTCAGATATAAAAGGTTTGCGGGATTAATATGAAATAAAACTCATCTACCTCTTTGTTTGTAAAAAAACTGAGGATTTAACCTACAATTTTGCTAAAAATATGCGGAGCAGAAAATTAATGAATAACACTTGAAGCATAAACCTAACAAAATTTTTAGTAAGTACAAGCCGGAAACATAACCAGTTTGAAGATACCTTTTTTTTTGCCTTTTGCCCCTAACAATAAGAAAGTCAACTAGGTTTAGATGGACCACTTTGTAATAGCTGATAGAATTTAAAATCAATAGCACACACCAGTCGTTAATTGTATCCTTACCAATATCGAAAAGAACATGATAAAAGATATAACCTACCAGTTGTAATAGTTCGAAATCGCTCCTGCCCAGCTGTATCCCAGATTTGCAACTTGATCCTTTTGCCATCCAATTCAATTGTCCTTATCTTAAAATCAATTCTGCAAAATGAAAATGCTTTTTGCAATCAGGAATGGCTAGTCAGTTTAATAAATTAGACAGAATAAAAAATGTATCTTCAGAAAATGAGTAGCCCATGGTCTTTAACTATGGAAGCAAACAGAAGCAAATTACACAATTCACAAAGGTGGTCCATCCTTGAACAAAACCTACCCAATTGTTGTAATGAAACTGGTGGTGAAGGACCCATCAGAAAAACGGAGAAGGAGACAACTCTTACCAACCCCTGAAAAACGAAACGACAGATTGAAATTCAGATTTGTCATAGCAGTTTATGATTTAGATGAACAAAATCAGAATTTTCACAGCAATTCATGCTTCCATAAGCCTATTTTAGTCATTTCAGGTATGATTGGTTGACTAGAATCGGGCAAACTAAGCATAGCATTAGATGAAACTGCTCACCTTGCATGTGCATAGCAATTATGAAAACTGAGAATCATCATGGATAAAAGAATATTTGAAAATACAATCAAGAGAAAGCAAGATATCAAGAGAAAGTGCTTTAGACATTTCTTCTTCTTCTTTTTTTAAATAAAAGTCATTGTATATGAAGCATAAATCCTTACCCAGCAAATGGACCACCCTCAAACTCAAAAAACCCCACTAAATAATTGGTGAAGTTATATGACTGGTTAATCAATCCAATGAGCAAATCTTGGTGAGTAACTAACAATATGTTCATGCGTCTGGAGGAAAGAGAAGTGACCATGTAAAATTTTTGTAACATGACATTTCTACCAGGAAGCCATGTCCATAATGCACATGCATCAGACACGACAAATCTTGGAAACATGTGGTTTATCACTCATCAAAATTTTTGTTATGAATAATGTAAAAAACAGCAGAGCTTAATAAACAATAACACACTTGTGCACACACTTCCGTATTAACCGTGCAGGTTGCTTAACAGTCCATTGAAAAATGAGCAGTCCAATGATTGTTTGAAGGCCAGAGAGGCAAGTCAGCAAAAGATTTAAAAACCTTTGGCGAAATTATATTGATGCACAAGAACGTGTTTTATGTGGCCACATATACATATGGAAGAAAATTGCAATCAAATACTCGCCTAGTTGCTTAGAACCTTACATACATCCATACATGCGTTAACTTTTGTGTAAATGCACCCACCCAGTCATGCATATCTCAAACGTTTTGGTTAAATGCATCCACCCATTTGTATATGCATGCATCCACCCATCCATATGTACATACACATAAAAATTTACACATTAATATCCATGTGTAAGAAGAGAAAAAGAAACATGTATGAATGCATATCATGGTTTAACAAAATTATAATCGCACGTGAAAATATTGAGCATTTCATGCACTAGACTAAATGTATAAATAGCAGGTTTTACTTCGGAGTTTCTTCTTGCATTCAATATAAGAGATATTTGATGTCTTAATCAAGACATTGTCTAAAGTAAGTATAAATATTTTCATCAAGAATAATTTAACATAATAGTTGGAAGAAATATCGCCATTTATATGATGCATGTCAATGAATGTCAAAGTATTCGAGTTTAAAAATCTATCATGAATTTAAGAAGAGGTGCTAGGTACCTGCTCTCTACTAAGGACACTTGCACAGGTGTCCAACAAATAGCCATTTTAAGCACCATGTGAAATACAAACACAAGCTCATGGAACAAGTCAATGTAACATACAGGACTGCAGCTAAGTTAAGCATGAGATAAAGGCATCTAAGTGGTTGATGACATTATCATATGTATAGTGTAGGCAAGTGCGTTCTATCCAGACCAACAAAAATACTATCATAGAAGCAGCACATATTGACTAGAAACTCCATACTCATTATACAGAAAAGATGACAAACGAGACAGTCTCATCAATTAAAAGTTGAATAAAAGTAGTGTGAATTTCCCCCCAGAAAGTTTGTTAGTAGACTAATACATTTTCAGTTAACAACAACTGAAGTTAGGTAAATAATTATGAATTTATGATAATATGAAATAACCATAAAACAAAGCAAAGGGCTGTTGAAATACTACATAAAATCAATCTCAACCTATGTTACTTGGGTACTTCTATAATGAAGCCATACCCATACCCAACACATATGGACACGGACATGTACTGGACACTCCTTGGACGCATCTATCATGAATCGTATGCCTAGAAAGCAACGATGCTCCTGGGACACTCATCCAATATATGCATACGTTTATTCAAACATGTACTTTGTTAGATAATACATGTTTAAACTTAAAACACTTGCCATATACTTCTTGGAAGTTTATCCTACACTTCACATTCAGTTTCTGAAACTTTTTCGACATAGGTCAGGTTCATATCCATCCAAACCCAGTTAAGAACAATGATTTTAAGTCCAACTTATAATCTATATCATAACATAAATATAAAATGTTATAGGAATTTTAATTCCCATAACATATGAATGAAAAAATATTATTGATCTTAAGTAAATTATTATTTCAATATATGTATACCAGTATATAGCCGCATCCCTGTACCCAACCCTCCAAAAATTTGAAGTGTCCCATATTCACACCCCTAATTCTCAACCCTTTGTTGTGTTTAGAAACTACCGAGTTCCATAAGGAGCACAGAAGTCATGTAAAGGTCCTGTCCACTTGTTAATTCAACATAAAACAAGCATCCCAAGTAGCAGAAATGGTCAATGTACTGGTAAGAAATTATGAAAAGTATGAGTATGCCATAATCATCATCTAACCTTCCTCATCAAAATGGTTAGAAATAAAGCACAACACTCCTTGATAGATAGATTAAATATCATGACTCGATTCCAACCTAAAGATAGTCTGTAGTTCCATTGCGATTGATACCAAATAACTGGTCAAGGAAATACGATAAACAAATCTGACCTACTACGAATCCTTGGAAGTCAATGGGCAGATGCGGAAATCGATCTTATTACTCATGCAAACTAAGTTTCCTTGCTGAAGGAGCAAAATGAAAACATGTCGAACCGAAGTTCTTAAGTTGAAAACAAAGAAAAGCCACTAAAATAACAAAGATAATACATTCTTTGGCGGAGAAACAAAAAACTAAACAATCATTCCATTGACACAAAAAGTAACACAATCACCGATAAAACGATGAAGAGGAAAAACTACAGAAAACACCTTTGTGAAATTGCACCATTATTATACCTAATAACTCACCATTATATCCACTTAATATCTACAATCATATCAATTGCATACATTGCATGAGCCCAATCATAAGAGTGACAATTCACAGGTTTAAAATTAGTCCGATAGAGCAATCCATCCACAATATCCCATTAGATCTCATTTCAGTTGGATCTAAACAATTTCTAAACCTAATTATGACATGCTTCTGGAAAAAAAAATCATAACAATAATAAATTGGGGAAATCTTTGAGAAGGGTAATCAGAAACCCTAACCGCTATCGCCGATCAAGAGAAGCTTGATAAGATAATCGTAATCAGCCCTTGCCCTAGCAGGAGGAGCAGCCATGGGATCCAGACGCAAGAAAAATTAGTAAAAAACCCTAAACCCCTAATTTATTTCACAATCGCGGATCCGTCTCTGAGAATGAAAACGAAGTTATAGTAAGATGGGGAAATGTGTTATTTAGATAATTGACAATGGATTGAAATGCAAATACCTTCAAATATTGAGGATCTAACAGTTGGAGGGAGGGAGATTGAGGAGTTTGAAGAAAAAGAGTGGGTTTTTTTTATCTTTTTTTTGCCCCCCTTCACTGCGACTAGAGCGGTGAGCTTACCGCCCTTTGAGAGGGGAGCATGGGAATTGACGATGAACCGTGGTGCGGTTCCTCGGCCTGTTTGGATGGAGGGTAGAGAGGGGGAAGGGGTGGGAAATTTCATTTTAACCTTGTTTGGAAGTTTTATTTTGGAGGGTAGAGGAGGGGAATGGAGGGGAAATTTGGCCCAAATTCTTACACCCCAAATTAAGGTGTAATGGAGGGGAAGGGAAGGAAGGGGAAAAATTCTCCTTCCTTCCCCTCCCTAAGTAAACTCCCAAACACACTTGGTTTTTGATAGTTCGCTACCCCCCCACACACACACACACAAAAAAAAAAAACCAAAAATCATAAAAGATATTTTCTTAAAATCAGAGAAGAAATACAATAAGGAACCCAAAAATTTTAATTTTCATCTATTTTCTTAAAAAAATGGGAAAAATGTGTGCAGGCCCCAAAAGTGGGAACTTCGTGTGACTAACCCCCATGTACTTTGCCCCATGTGGAATAGCCCCAAAAAATAAGCTTTAATGTTTTAAGCCCCCTCCACGTCAGCTTTATACTAAAAGCAGATCGTATTTTGCAAAAAAACTGAAACTGCCCTTCTCTTTCTTCCCCAGACGAGTCCTGGTCCCGAACAACAGAAGTCATTTCTCATTAATGCGATATGATGGGGAAAATGGAGGGAAATTTCCCCCTTTTTTTACTCCATCATGAGCAATAACTAGTTAGTTCTTCATTACTCCTCCTCCTCAGACCAAAATTCTCTCCATTACTCTTACTATCCCTTCAAAATGGCTGAAAAGGACATCATACATGGTATAAAATAGAACTAACTTGGTATAAATTAGAACTAATATGGTATAAAATAGAACTAACTTGGTATAAATTAGAACAAACTTGGTTAAAATTTTAGAACTAACTTGTTATAAAATAGAACTAACTTGGTATAAATGAGATATAACATGGTATAAATTAGGTTTATAACGTGGTTTAAATTAGAACTAACATAAATTAGATATAACGTGGTATAAATTAGATATAACGTGTAATAAAATAGAACTAACAAGCCATCACACGCTACAGACTTGAACTAACACTGTGCAGAATAGAACTAACACTGTGCAGATTAGAACTAACACTCTACAGAACGGAACTAACACTGTGCAGAATAGAACTAACACTGTGCAGATTAGAACTAACACTCTACAGAATAGAACTAACACTGTGCAGATTAGAACTAACACTCTACAGAATAGAACTAACACTGTGCAGATTAGAACTAACACTCTACAGAATAGAACTAACACTGTGCAGATTAGAACTAACACTCTACAGAATAGAACTAACACTGTGCAGATTAGAACTAACACTCTACAGAATAGAACTAACACTGTGCAGATTAGAACTAACACTCTACAGAATAGAACTAACACTGTGCAGATTAGAACTAACACTCTACAGAATAGAACTAACACTGTGCAGATTAGAACTAACACTGTGCAGATTAGAACTAACACTCTACAGAATAGAACTAACACTGTGCAGATTAGAACTAACACTCTACAGAATAGAACTAACACTCTACAGAATAGAACTAACACTGGGCAGATTAGAACTAACATTCTACAGAATAGAACTAACATGTTATAATTTTGAAATAGCTTGTTATAAAATAAAAATAACTTCGTTAAATTAGAACTAACCTTTAATGGCTATATTGTTTGTTCTAATAGCTATTATGTCAGTTCTAATCAATGCACTGTTAGCTCTAATGGTTATATTGTTAGTTCTTTTAGTTCTAATTGATTCTAACAGCAAGCAATTGTCGTTTTTGCTTTTTAGCTTTTGCTATTATCTGTTGATACTTCTATTATTTGTGCAGTTTGAAATCAAAAAGTGTAGACTGTGGCCCGTCGGCGTTGTTGACCACAAGTGTTCCAGATAAGAATCCCAATGACAATCCTTCCGGAGATGATGTCATGACGATTGATGACATGATTAGCAGATCAGAGAGGATTCCTGCTTGGTGGCACACAGCTTTAACCGGTGAGGGACAACGATTTGAAAGTGCGAAGGAGTTAAGATTGGCCTTGCTATACTACTCCATGGCAAAAAAATTCGAATACGAGTTTGGGAAGAATGAACCGAAGCGTATTCGAGTGTTTTGTCGGTTTAAGGCAGCAAAAAATTGTCCGTGGATGTTATTTGCCTCTCCACCGAAAAATGATAATAGACTTGAAATCAAAAGGTTTGTGGACAATCACAGTTGTGGGCAGCATGGCAATAATGCTGGTCAATCTAGAGCCTCAAGGCGATTCATTGCTACCCAATTACAACCCACGTTAAAGGTTCGACCGGATATACGGCCTATTGACGTTCAAAAGGAGTTTCTAAGCTCGTATGGGATTAGGGTCGATTATAGTAAGATTTGGTGGGGTAAAGAAAGAGCACAAGAGAAATTATATGGTGATGCCCATGAGTCCTACGATCAATTACGATGGTAAATAGAAGATGATATATAACAAAATGAGGGGATTAGGGTCGATTATACTAATTTTTCAATGTTGGTACTAACGCTTAATCTTCAATTTTCTAGGTATGTAGAAGAGGTCAAGAAGACAAACCCAGGTAGCTATATTCATGTTGAACAACATGAGGGGAGGTTTACAAGATTATTCATATGCTACGCCGCCTACATAAATGGTTTTTTATACGGCTGTAGACCACTCTTATTTTTGGATGGTACCTTTCTTAAAGATCGATTCAAAGGCATACTCCTAAGCGCAGTAGCATATGATGGAAATCATGGGATATTTCCATTGGCGTACTGTATATGCGATCAGGAAAATAACGTTAACTGGAAGTGGTTCTTACAAGGTTAGTTCTATCCCTAGCTATGTTAGTTCTATTGCAGGTTATGATAATTCTAGCTCATTCATTGCTAACTCTATAATTCGTGTATGGTAACCACAACTCTTTGTAGGTTTGTGGTCTATTCTCTATGAAAGGCCAGATCCATACAACCCTCCACACAAGCTAGTGATAATTTCAGATGCGGATAAGGGGATCAGAGAAGCAGTTAGAGAATTTTTTCCAGATTCTATACACTCTCGATGTGTGTTGCATCTAGTTGAGAACTTCAGGACAAAGTTGAAGGATTTGGGATTCAAATCAAAAGATACTCAGATCTTGGGTAATCTATTGCAATCTGCCTGTTACAAATATACTAGAGCAGAATGGAACGATTACATGGACGACATTAGACTGGTTGACGAAAGAGCTTACAATATTGTGATGAACTACGCTCCAGAAAACTGGGCCAATGCGTTTTTCCCTGGAGTTAGGTAAGTTATAAGCTATTTCATTACATGACTATTATAAGCCGCTTGACGAATTCCCTATTATGTTTCAGATATGGTCACGTTACATCAAATGTTGTAGAGTCATTCAATAAATAGATACATGAGGCTAGGCTACTACGGATACTTCAACTGGTAGAGCACATACGTAAACGGATTATGGTTCGTATGAATGAGCGACGAACCATGGCTGAAAGCTGGAATCAATTTCTTTGCCCCAAAGCTAAACTTGCTCTTAAAGAGAACATGGAAAATGGTCGTCCATTGGAGGTTCGTCAGTCCCACACAGGATTATTCTTATAGATCTTGTCAAGTGGATCTAGACAATAAAACATGCACTTGCCGTGGGTGAGATGTAACCCGTGTCCCTTGCAAACATGCATGCGCATCCATTATGTTTATGAAAAGGGATGTCTATCAGTTCTATGACTGGTTTATGACGGTTGAAGCCTTTAAAAAAAGTTACGAGCCAATCCTCTATCATATCCCTGACTTTGAGAAGCGCATCGTGCTAAGGGATGAGATACAGATCCTACCTCCACTTACAACAAAAAGGAAAGGGAGAAATAAAACCAGGCGTATGCCAATCCTCTATCATATCCCTGACTTTGAGAAGCGCATCGTGCTAAGGGATGAGATACAGATCCTACCTCCACTTACAACAAAAAGGAAAGGGAGAAATAAAACCAGGCGTATTAACAACAGAACTGTTTACACGCGGCCAGTAAAATGTTCTCGATGTCATATGGAAGGTCATAACCGTAAAACATGTAATGAATCTATAGCTGACTAAGTGTTTGATATGTTGAAGTGTTGAAGGTCATAACCGTAAAACATGTAATGAATCTATAGCTGACTAAGTGTTTGATATGTTGAAGTGTTTTCATTCCAGTATGCAACAAATATTTTGTTTTTTTTCTGATTGAATGTTTATTCTTGTTAATCGGGAACTAACATCAGCTTACACTAGATAAAAAGTTGTAAGTAACAAAACAACTATCATATTAGGCCTAACACGCACAAAGAATAGAACTAACATCTCAGTTATTCGATGCGCTCGAAGGGCTAGGAGTAACAAGCCAAAGAATAGAACTAACTTGGTATCAGATAGTACTAACATGTAATAAAGCAGAACTGACTTGGATCGAGAACACGTTACAGAATAGAACTAACGTTGTGAACATTAGAACTAACACGCTAGAGAATAGAACTAACACTGTGTAGATTAGAACTAACACTCTACAGAATAGAACTAACACTGTGCAGATTAGAACTAACACTCTACAGAATAGAACTAACACTGTGCAGATTAGAACTAACACTCTACAGAATAGAACTAACACTGTGCAGATTAGAACTAACACTCTACAGAATAGAACTAACACTGTGCAGATTAGAACTAACACTCTACAGAATAGAACTAACACTGTGCAGATTAGAACTAACACTCTACAGAACAGAACTAACTTGGTATAAATTAGAACTAACTTGGTATAAAATGAGAACAAACTTTGTTTAAATTAGAACTAACTTTGTATAAATTAGATCTAACATTGTATAAAATAGAACTAACTTGGTATAAATTAGGTTTATAACGTTGTAAAAAATTTGAATCCGACGGTTGAGTCCGAGAACCACGGCCACGATACGTCGCAGGGCGAAACGCATGAAGATCGTGCTGTCAAGTCACGATCGCCACGATCCAATGTCTTAGCTGGGAAGCACGAGGCTCTATCAGCAGACACGTGGCTCATCTCCCGTCAGATCCGGTTCCGCCTACAAAAGGAAGGGTTTCGCCTGCAAATACTGGGCATAACCCCACGAGTCGCGCGAAAATTGGCTCTCAAAAACTAATTTCGCCTTGACGATGCATTCGCCCTCAAAGGTAAAATTACGAACAAAGCCAAAAGAATGACCTTGCTTAAACGGTTGAAACCCACGCCCCAGATGGCTAAGGGTTAGAGCAGAAATCTTAGCATTAAGCCTAAGAGAAACTGTTCGACAACTCATCATACTGAGGAGAATAGTATGGCTAGCCCGATTCAAACGGTAATCGGTAAAGGCACATCAAACCCGTTGATAGCTGAGGATTTGCTAAAAATCCTAAGAGAAATCGAAGGCACTTGCTTCGCCAACAATTTCTTCATTCAAAGTATTCCAGACCACACGCAAGCCAGTTCAGGTCTGAAAACTTTGAAGGGGGTCTTGTAGACGGTAAAAAATACCTCTATGGGTCTACAGGAAATTTGCCTACGAGAAGAGTTCGCACGCCCAGTTCTCTGGCACGGACCTAAACCGCGTAGACGTCGACTGTACTCAAGTCCAGGTTCGCCTAACGGTCGACTCGCCAGCATGAGTCAGGGTCGATCAGGATGGCGGAAATTCGCTCTTCGCTCAACTCGCCTGCCCGAGTTCGGAGTCGAATCCGCCAGCAAGCCCCAAAACCGTCAGTACAGCTGGGTATCCACTACCCCACGTGCTGAGATGGACCTTCCCATCTCTCTCGACCCGAAGGGAGAGAGAGCACAGTACCCCAGGACCGTCAAACGGCCGCTCGCAGTGCGCACAGCGCGAAGGGACTGGACAGGTGTCGAGTCAACCTGAGCATTCATAAATGCGACTCACCTCGGATGTCTGAGCCAAGAGCTGGATCCGCCGGCACTCGGCAAGCTGGCTAGACCCACTCGAGTACTGTGTACCTACTTCACCGCCTCTCCTGGCCGGAAAGGAGAAAGCATCGTGCTCAAAGCACGCCGGGCGGTCACGCACAGTACAAGTGATCGGACAGACACTTCATCGATCTGCGAACTCATAAATGCGGTTCATTAATGCTGGTCAAATCCACTCGGATAGCAGTCGTTTGTTGCCTCACATACAAGAATGGGCCTTCCCATCGTAGGTGACAGGACATAGAACACAATCCCTGGAATGACCGTTCATGGTATCGAGGAACGGCGAGACGTCTCTGAAGAGGATGTGGTCACATCCCACAATTCAAGGAGAAGTCAAGCTGTCCTTCTTTCATTTAAAAACCCCTTCCAGCACGATGGAAGAGAGGTCGCAAAACTTGGAGAAAAAAGAGTTGAGACCAAGCTGTTAGCAAATCCTTGCATTACAGCACTGCTGCCTAGTTCCGGGCTCCGATCGCCGACGAACCAAGCAGACCCGAACTCCATTGCCCCGAGCTTCTACTGCGAACTGAAGCTCTCCAGCAACCTCATTCAAACGGTCCAAGGGAAGCAGACTCGACCCGACCATCGAGCGAAGCGTCCTATAGCCACCTAAAGTCCCCACACAAAAACAAAGAGGGCCTTCCCTCTGCTTCTGTTGTAAACATTTGATTTGTTAGTTTGTAATAAGCTTTCTTATAAATACAAACGAAACTCCTTTCTTCGGAAGAATCAAATTTTCACCCTACAGAAGATGGCGACCACAGTGGGAGCAGCTGTTTCATCGAGTGAAATGGTGGTGGCTCAATTTGATGAGGTTACTATCGGGACGACAGTAGAGTCCCTCGAAATCGAGTTCGACCAGGCCAAGTACGAAGAATACTTGTCCTCCTCCTCCTCGGGTGGCAATGCGTCCCGCAAACGCCACAGAGCTGTGCGCCGAGGCCGACCTCAGACGGTCAAAGCCTCCGCACCCGAGGGTTCCAACCGAGTCTCATCGGAGGAGCCCACTCCCTCGCGATCGATCAAGGCCAAGCCAGAGATCGAGCGCAAGAGGCAAGGGTCTGCCAGATGGATCGCCAAGCGGTCCACACAGACACCTACCTCGGAGGAAGCGCCGGTTCACTCTGGCACAAACCGCAATGCCACAACCCACGGTGACGTTCTCCCCGCTGGGAGAACTAACCAACAGCGACGGCAAACACCCGTCAGACAGGGGGTCCAAACCTCCATTTCTCATAATGGCCTGAACCATCACACAGGCCCGAGAAACACTAGACGGGAAGGCAAGCTGCCCGACCTCAGAAGGCCCTCCAAATCAGGAGCGTCAACCGAGGACAGCAGAGCCATCCGCTCAGGAGGACTTCGCTTCTCAGGTCATATCCCTGATGCGAACAAACCACACCGAGCATACGAGCTTACCCAAGTAGGCGAATCCTCGAAGGCTGGCGAGCCTCGCCATAATCATTTGGCGGATAAACGTAAAGGAAAGGAAATAGGCGGTTCCTCCCGAACCCGCTCTTCTAAACATGGGGTCGAAACTCGCCCACGTACTGGAGTTCGCTCAAACGCGAAGACTCGCCAGTCAAGGCGAGATCGCCTGACTCCAACACCAAGGCGTTCCACCCAACACGCGCCAGAGAGAGCGCCCAAAAATCTCTCGTCAGCTCACCAGAGCGACTCTTCTGAGGCCGGGGGTTGTCACCAGCCACCCGTAGAAGACCTCAGAGAATTCTTGACTCGCAAACGCACTATTCACGAGGCGAATC